TATAGGCATATGGTTGCCTGGCTGGAACAATGACTTTTTGTACATGTGCCAAAGGAAACTTTAAGATGCCTGTTGACATTCTGTCCTTTCTTTGTTTTCCATTATTGGATGACTTTGCTGCTGTATCCTTTTTTTTCCTCTTTGGGTACATTTTATCACAATTTATGCCCAAAACAACATTACTGGGAACATGAACAAGATAAAGAAGCTAGTATGTCTTGTTAGTTTCATTAAGTGTTAAAGCTAAAGCCTTCAAAGGACTGTACATGATTAGGGCTTCACAACTATTTATTTAAAGCCTTGTTTTGTCTCTGTTCATGTTTATAGAATATGAAATACTCAGTGAGGCAGACTTAGTGCATATATGATGTCTGTGTAAATCTCAGGGCTTCAGAAAGACTCAGCCTGTTCTCCCATAAAACAAATTCTGTCACTCAGCTACTGCTGCCTTCCACATATATGTGGTTTGAATTTCCTAATTCTGAAATTCTCGGTTGTATCAATAATAAGTATTTGTATCTTTAGTGCTACCTGAGTTCAAGACACAGTGATATGGTTTGGCTGTGTCTTCACTGAAACCCGACTTGAATGGTATGTCCCAGAATTTCCATGTGTTGTGGGAGGGGTAAGTGGGGAGGGTGGGGCAGTAATTAAATCATGGGGGCGTCCAGTCTTTCCTGTGCTACTCTCATGATAGCGAATAAATTTAATGAGATCTGATCCATTTATTAGAGGTTTCCGCTTTTGCTTCTTCCTCATTTTTTCTCATGCTGCCACCACTTGAGATGTGCCTTTCCCCTCCTACGGTGATTCTTAGGCTGCTCCAGCCATGTGGAACTGTAAGTCCAATTAAACCTTTCTTCCCAGTCTCAAATATGTCTTTATCAGCAGCATGAAAATGGACTAATACACATCATTAGTGAAAGATTAGAAAGCCACATTAATTTTCTCAAATGTGCCTATATATTAATATGTTGGTTAAAATCAATGCTACTTTTTCAGAAGATACTTTCTATTAAGTAAAGTAGGCAACAGGATTTAAGTGATAAGAATATACCTTTTGACCATTAAAGTTAATTCAGGTATTTTCAGATCTTGTAAACATTTTTTTTTTTTCTTTTTTCCAAATTATCCCACATGCTGTTTGCTAGCCATGGAGTTAAAATGAAGTAAGTTGGGGATTGCTCTGGGAAAGCCATGGTAAAATCACATGCAGGTAGGAAAATTTATTAAGTTTTTTCCTGAGCACATTAGCTTGATTAATGGATCAAATTTGTGAGCTGCCACTTCAGATGAAGAGATCAGGTAAAGGTGAGCTCAGTGGGGAAAGAGTGATCGTAAGAAGAAGGATCACAGCATGGAAGAGTTTAGGGGGCAAGGGCCTGGAGAAGTAACTGAAAGGTAGCAGAAATGTACAAGACTGATTTTACTTAGTCACAGTTATACGAAGGGCATGAACCCCTGCGACAGAGAAGCCCCAGCTGCTAGAAATTGACAGTTGGTATACTAGCATAGCAGGAAGGAGACTTATCTGGGAGGCAGGAATTATGGTTTGATCTGGGCTCTGCATTAATAAATTTGTGGTTTTGGATATTCGGTGATTTCAGTTAAGTCCTCACTTCCTCAGTTATGAAATAATGCAGTCATACCATTTAAACCATCTGTTGTACCAGTAACATTATGATTCTAAGATTAGCTAATTCTGTGTGTAATGGGAACATTTCTCAAGTCCCCAAATAGAGCTGAGAAAAATATGCATTGTTGTCTTCTGAAAATTGATCAAATTTACTTTCAACTTCTGATTTTGTGTTTTCAAGTTAACTAGTACTTCTGTGCCCATTTGCCTCTCTACCTTTTAATTGATGAGAAATGATTTGACAGCATTACACATAATTTATAATTATTTTCAGAAACACACTAAAAATCTTTAAAACTGACATTTTCAATAATTTAAAAATGTCTACGCAATATATATTTTTAAAAGGCCTAACTTGTTTTTATTGTGTATTATTTTATACTTAAAAAAATACAACTCCTGTTTTCACTGAAAATATTGATAGAAAACAAATGGCACAATATTATACAGGAGATCTTAACATAGTATCTTTACTATCTTTTTTCTATCTGTGGTTATTAAATTGCTTGTACTTTCTATTAGTTTGGTTTCACCAACATTAAGAATTCATATGTAGTCATGTGTTTCTTACTGATAGGGATATATTCTGAGAAACGTGTCCTTCAGTGATTTAGTCATAGTGTGAACATCATTGAGTGTACTTAGACCTAGATGGTGTAGCCTACTACATACCTAAGCTATATGATATAGCCTATTATATGGGACTAAAAACTTGCACAGCATGTTACTATACTGAGTGTTGTAGGTAACTATAACACAATGGTAAGTATTTGTGTCTCCAAAAATATCTAAATATAGAAAAGGCACAGGAAAAATATGGTATAGATGATAAAATAATGGTACACCTCTATAGGGGATAAACTGAGATTGCAGGAGTGGAGGTTGCTCTGGGTGAGTCGGTGAGTGAGTGGTGAGTGAATGTGAAGGCCTAGGATATTACTGTGCACTACTCTAGAGTTTATAAACTGTATACTTAGGCTACATTAAATTTATAAGGAACATTTTTTTAATAAGTTGAGCTTAGCTTACTATACATTTTTACTTGATAAGATTTTTAATTTTTTAAACTTTTTGCTCTTTTATAATTCTTAGCTTAAAACAAACAAAAACACATTTTTCTTTATATTTTATTTCTTTATTATTCTATAAGCTTTCTCTATTTTTATTTTTATTTTTAAATTTTACTTTATAAACTGGTTTTGTTAAAAACTAAGACACAGACACAATACATTAGCCTAGGTAGGTTAGGTTAAGGTATTGGGTCTGTGTCTTAGTCATCACATCAGAATCATCAATATCACTGTCTTCCCCCCCCCACGTCTTTTCCCACTGGAAAATCTTCAGGGACAGTAACATCCATGGAGCTGTCATCTCCTACGATAACAATGCCTTCTGCAAAACCTCCTGAAGAACCCACCTGAGGTTATTTTACAGTTAACTTTTTTTTTTTTTTAAGTAGAAGGAGTACACTCTAAAATAACAATAAAAAGTATAGTATAGAAAATACAGAAACCCGTAACAGTCATTTTTTATCATCAAGTATTATGTAGTGTACATAATTATATGGTAGCACAGTATTTGTTTATGCTAGCATTACCACAAACATGTGAATAATGGGTTGCAATGGCTATGATATCATGAGGGGATAGGAATTTTTCAACTTCATTATCATCTTATAAAACCACCATTGTGTATGCAATCCACCATTGACAGAAACATCATTATGCAGTGCATGACTGTACAATCTCCTGGCTGCTCATGTAACATGATTCCACATTAAAAATTACCCCTATATGGAATAAAAAAATTCAGAGCACACATCACCTTAGTGATGAGATGTATTGTTTAAGTAGAGAATTGAATCAAAAGATTCGAAGTAAATATAGAAATCTACATAAAGTGAGCATATGGAAGGTGCTAGAGAAAAATGCTATAGTTTCCTAGACAGAAAGAAATACCAGCAGCTGGCTATGCTGTTAGCACAGATGGAAAGAGGTGACATATATTCTAATAGACAAAAATATTTAAGGCATAGAAAATTCCAATAAATTAGGGAAATTTATAGTTTATTATCTAAACCTGGTTAGAAATTTTACAGAGCATTAAGAGAGAAAATGCAAGACATTGATCATAAAGAATTACACAGCCATTTAGCCAAATGTTCAGGCCCCATAGAAGATATTTCCTCTGGTCACACTCCTGAATGTAAATAATATTTGAGGTTTTCCACTGAAATTGAGCTCTACCAAGGGAATGTGAGTGAGAGTAGGGCGAGTTCTTAGGAGTTCAGTCTTTTTCCTCTCTGTAGAATTAAGAAAAAAGAAATTGCAAGTGACCTGAAATTCAATGAGACAACATAACAGTTTCAGTGAAAAAGTTCATCTGATTCACAATGGGAAAGAAAACTGAAATGGGGTTTTTGCTGAAAGAAGCAACATTTATAACCAAAAAAGATTTTTTTTTTTTTAAAAAGCAGGAAAGGAAAGCTGTCTAAATAATTCTAAGAAAACAAGATGTGGCTAGAAAATCATGGTAATTCTTTGCATGTTCCTCTTCGAGATTAGGAAATTGTATTACAGCTTAAAAAAAAAAGGTGACCAAGAAGTACTGTTGGAAAGTGTTGAGGCATCTGAATTGCTGACGTTTCTGCTGCTTTCATGGCCCAGGATTTTGCAGCCTGGAAGGCAAGTGGAGAAGAACAGCCAGTTAGCTCAGCTGGCATTCATCTTTAGAAACAAAATGATAATGAGAAGGCACAATTATTTTGAACCCCTTTTAATCTAGACTCCTCCTGGGTCAGATAATTGGACTTTATGTGTCTGGATACGGCACTTCCAACGTGTTTAAGAGTCATATTAGCCTTGGAGAGATTTAAAAACAAAACATAACAAAAATTCCAACAGTCTATTTAACATAATGAGGTTATATGCAAAACAAGTTTTAAAATAATCTTTTATAGTAACTTAAATGCTACCCTAGTAAGTAAAGGAGGTGAGATTTAAACCAGGTGGTTTGGCTTTAAAGGGAACACTCATTACACTGCTACCTTTTATTGACTGCATTGGCCTGAATCCCCCCCAAATTCAAATGTCGAAACTTAAGCCACATTGTGGTGGTATTAAGAGGTGAGGCCGTTTGGGAAGTGAATAATTCAGGAGGAGTTCATGATTGAATTCGTGCTTTATTAAAGGGCTGGAGGGAACTAGTTTATGCTTTTTTTTTGTTTTATTAATTTTTTTTTACCCTTCTGCCTTATACTATGTGAGGACACAACATTTGTCCCCTCTAGAGGATGCAACAATAAAGTGCCATCTTGGAAGCAGAGACAGGGCCTTCACCAGACACCAAACCCGAAGATGCCTTCATCTTGGACTTTCAGCCTCCAGAACTGTGAGGAATAAATTCCTATTCTTTTTACCCATTCTCAGGTATTTTGTTGTATCAATACAAATAGACAAGAGACGAAGCAGGATAGGTAGTCAAGGAAGTAACCACGTCCTCGGGACTTAGCAATCATAGTGACTGCATCGTCAGCCGAATAAGCCCAGCATTCGTATTGTTGTCAACCTCATTCAAACAGAGCTATCCCCAGTAGACAATTTCTCTGTACAGCACATGCATGTTTGGACCTTATCTGTCCTAAGACTGACCCTTCGCTCATTATAATAGTGAAAACCACACCCCGAAGTGGAGATTTATGATGCTAATGAGATATGACTCTTAATTCCTTATTGTCCCTGGCTAAAGACTGAAGAAGCCCAAGGCAAAGAATGGCTCTCATGTGGCAATCAGTCCCAATCACAGCAGTGGAGCCTGGGTGCCTTAGATGGGGCAGGTAAAGATATCAACAGAGGGGCTGGCCTGTCAGTCCTCACTTTCTGTCCTGGATCTCTGTCTGCCAAACATGACACTGTCATTCATGTTAACAGCAAACGCTGAACTAGGATTTTCACGCCACCGCATAGCTGACCAACTTCTGCAGTAAAACCTGGAAATATGGGGCCTTGGGTGCACTTACCAAAAATTAAAAAGTTTTCCTTTTAAGTCATCACAGAAATCTACAACGCAGACTCCAAATTATTCCTGTAAAGCACTGATGGATCTAAAGTGTCTGTTCAAAAAACAGCCAAAACTGAAAATATCTAACAATTAATATTGCCTCAGCATAAGCTTCTATTCAATAAAAACAACTCATGGTGAGACTGCCTTAAAAGATAAGTGATGTTTCATTTTTCTCTTATGTATTCGCTATACATTAGGCACTCTTAGTAAAATGGTTTATCTGCTAAAGAAATAATAAACCATACTACTAGCTTATTAAAATTAACCCAACCTTGCCAACTTTACATTACTACTAAAAGTTAAAAATATGCCAGATCTGTGTGTCAAGAAGACTGAACCAACATTTCTATATTCCTCCTGGAACAAACCCATTGGCCCACAAAATAAAAATATTTGGCCAAACAATACGAAGAGATTTCCTTGGACCTGGCTATGGCCAGTTCAAACTTCTACTTTTAACTGTTAATAATAACTCCCCTCTGCCAAAGAAAAAATGCTTTCTTACCTTACCTTTTACCCAGAACAATTCTCCATCTACTTTTACAACAGTGGTGCCAGTTTCACTACTTTCTTAGAAAAACTCCACGAGAGAGTCAATATAACTAAAGCTTTGTCACTGGGTCATCTATACACCTTATGCTAAAACCCTGAATGGGAAACTGCATTAAAAATACATTTAAATCACCCAACTCTGCCATCCTCTAATGTGCCCGGTGACTGCCAAACTTCTGTTACTTTTACCACCTAAATGCAAAATACTTTTACAGCACAAATTTCACCATCACAAAAAATTTGGGAGGATTTGTAAATCTTTGACATATCTACAATTTTCTGTGCAATGAAACAGACAATGCTCCATCACTTAAATTTTCCCTTATTTAACTTTCACACAGGCTAATGCATCTCTCCCTTTCCGCATATACCAACATCACAAGATCCACCTCTGAACAAAACCCCTTATTCTCTTAGATTTAGTACTGTCCTCTCTACTAAAATTAACAAGGTCAGCCACGAGAGGTGGAGCCTTAAAAATCCAACATAAACTGTCTCAAAAAACCACAGTGGCCTCTGACAAATTATAAAGGGCTTCACTAGATTTCAACAACTAGACTCCCTGGCTACTGTAGTCCTAAAGAGCCTTATATTTTCTCACAGCCGGACGAGGAAAAACATGTTTGTGTCTAAAAAATAAAATGCTGTTTTTACATTAATCAGTCTAGTTTGGTCCAAAAACATTAAAAGTATCATTATCCAAGTAGACAAAATTAATCTTTAAAAACTTCCATAGAGACTTAAAAACAATATCTGTTTTCTGCCATGCTTCCTTTAATAGTGTCAATTATTACCATACTTTTAGCTTTACATTTTGGTCCAACTTTATTTGAAATGCTAACAACTTCACTTACAACTAACACAAGTTGTTAGTAAAGCTAACAACTTTCCTTTATCACTCTCTCACAACAATTCCAAGTCCACATGGTTTTACAAAGCTTCCAACCTTTGACTACTAATAAAACATTTCACATCTTGCCCACCAGTCTCACAAACCACATGGCTTACACCCCATTGAATAAGACAGAAAAGCAACTCTAGGGCCCAGACTTGGCAGGGACAATGCCCCACTCAGTAGGAAACAACTGCAAAATAGTAAAAATAACAAAAATAATAATAAATAACCTAGCTCTTCAACCTCCTGTATTATGGACCCCAAATCTCTTCTTAGTAAAGAACTGAGGCAGGATAGCTAGTAAGAAAGTAACCATGTACTCGGTACACTACAGCCGTGGTGACAGCACTGTGAACGCAATAAGCAGCAGTATTTGTATTGTAGCCAAGCTCATGCAAGCAAAGCTATATCCAGTAGGGAATTTTTCTTTTTTCTTTCTTTCTTTCTTTTTTTTTTTTTTTGAGACAGAGTCTTGCTCCATCACCAGGCACCAGGCTGGAGTGCAGTGGTGCAATCTAGGCTCACTGCAACCTCAGCCTCCCGGGTTCAAGCAATAGCCTCCCAAGTAGCTAGGACTACAGGTGCACACCACCATGCCCAACTAATTTTTGTATTTTTAGTAGAGACGGGTTTTCACCATGTTGGCCTGGATGGCCTCGATCTCTCGATCTTGTGATCCGCCTGACTTGGTCGGGAATTTTTCTGTAGAGAGCAGGTACATTTTGATTTTACTGGTCTTCAGACTGGCTCTGCTCATTGTAACAGTAAAAAACACACCCAAGTGGAGATTTAAGATGCTAATGAGACATGCAATGTATGAACAAGCATGTACAGCTACCACACATGTGCATCCAGAACATGCTTTCTACTAACACCTCTTCCCAGACCCTTATGAATAATCATGTAAGACTCCCATAAAGGGAGTTTCCCCAGTAAACAATCAGTGCTGTCTCACCCGTACGAGCAGCTCGCTCTGAATCATCGTGGAGTGTACTGTCTATTCTGCACCTCGCTTTCAGAGTTTCTTTCTCCTTTGCAATAAAGTTCTTTATGCTGCACCTCCTTTGCTGTGTCTCTTCTTTAAATTCTTTTAAACTAAGAAGACAAGAAGCAAGGTTTCACAACAGCTGTTAACAAAGACACTGAACATTCCTTAAATATTAAGCTCCCTCAGGGTTCTGTGCTGGCCTTCATGTCCTCCTCACTCTGGGAAATCCCTTGGGGCCCAGCACTTCAGTGACCACATGCTGATCAGCTTCAAATCTGTATCTCTCCAACACATCTTTCGTGAGTTTTAGGGCTGTATATTCAGCTACATACTTGACAGTTTCTCACGCATGTCTTACAGATAACTCAAACTTAATATATAACAAAATAAACTAATTATTCAACCCTCCCAACATCCTTTACTAAATGTATAGCCCCTTTTTTGCTGCCCTGTGGAAACCCTGAGTATCAGTATTTAATTTCTGCTCCTTGTCCCATACCTTCCTTTCCAGTGTATATTTCTCTGATTCTCATGGTTTTAAAAGTAGTGTTTTCTATTATTTGCTTATTTTGGAAGCTGCCTTAATTCTATTATGGGCAAATTGTAGTAAATAAATGAACAAATACATAAAATAAAGCATAAAATCTACATACTACGTGCGGTAGTGAGGGGGAGGACACGTCCCAGATTGTCACGATCTCTCCAGGAGATGGCGCTCACAGTGTAGTTTTGCTTTTTTTTAAAAAAAAATTAAGCAAAATGTCGTATGGGTAAGTTTTCATATATAGGTAATTAATTTAAAGCAATATATTTTAGGTTTTATCACTTGTTGAGTGATCCTTTCGACTGATAAGACTTTACTTAATGACTTTGTGTTCTTAGTTTTCAGATAGAGGTAAAGTTTGGGGATGAAGTTGCTAGGAGTGTCAAAATTTGTGATACGGAAGAATTTGTGCTGTGGGGTAAGAGGGGGCACATTACCTAAACACTCTTGGTACTATAATCCAACAAACAAAAATGAATAATCTTACTATCATAAAGTGGGAAACATACAAACTGGAAAGCTACATTTAAGGTATCTCTGTGCAGACAGGGTATTCTGACAAGTGCTGATCTCTTTTTTACTGAATTCTGTGTTGAACTAGATTGTAGGTGACATTTATGGTTCTGGATTTGATTTTAGAGTTTTAGATATTTGTTCCAAATCATTGGTAGATTTTTTGAGTAAAAGGATCATTTTTATATCCCCTTCTGTCATTTTGCTTGGCCCAATTCTGGGTGGAGAAGAATTATTTGCTGCTTGATTCATCAGACTTGAAGGTACACAGGCACAGAGAATCATATGTGTATTGATGCTTTCTTTGTAAATGTAGGATTGCTGTTGTTGGGGAGTCTCACATTCCAGAAAGTTTGTATCTGGATAAGAATGTGGAGAAAAATTAGAATGACCTCTCAGAGAAAACAGTACAAAATAAAAATTCAGTTTAAACTACACACCACATAAAACTTTACAAGCAATTTATGCTATACATGATGGTCTTGAAGCCCATTCATGGATTTCTGTTGCACTCTGGGACTTAGAATATATCTGAAATTGGTATGGATTGGACATACGTATAAGTTTAGTTTATGTCTTTTATTGGTTAATCTGCACATAAATGGTTTTGTATGTATGAATGAATTTCTCTTAAAAGGCACAGAATTAGATTTGAACATATAAAAGAAAATTCCTTGTTCTTGAATAGGATGACTCAATACCATAAAGTTGTCAGTTCCCTAAGTTGCTGTATAATTCAATTCAATAAAATATACAAATATAAATATACCAGCAAACAGTTTTTTAGTGGAGCTAAATAAATTTGTTATAAAGTTCATATAAAAAATTTCAAGATTAGCCAAAAAAAAAACAACAACAACAACAACAAAAAACAAGTAAGACTAGGAGGGAGGCCAAGCCCTAAAAGACATTTAAAACATGCAATGAAGAAACTATAATTAAATTAGTGTGGTACTGGCTCATGAATAGACAAACAGATAAGAGAAATAGGACAGGCAAAAGTATCTAAAAATGGATGCAACATATATAGACATTTAATATAAAATAAAAGTGACATTTCAAGTCACTGGAGGAAAGGTGGACTATGGTAAATTATATTGAGACAACTGAATAACCATTTGGAAAAAAATAAAATTACATACATAACTTACACTATACATAAGAATAAACTACAAATGAATCAAAGATGTGAATGTTAAAAAATACCAAAACTATGTAAGTAATAAAAGAAAACATGTACATGCCACTTTTTAAGGTATAGGGAAAGGCTTTTAAACTATATGGAAAATCCAGAAACAATAAATAGATACCTTTGACTACATTAATTAAAAGTATTTGTATGCAAAGAATATCATGAACAAATTAAAAAGACAGTCGATCTTGGAGAAAATATTTGCATGTAAAATATGGGTAAGAGATGAATATCTCTACTGTGTTAAAAACTCTTACAAATTTAGGATGAAAGATTATACATCCAATAGAAAATTGGAAAAATTACATATGTAAACATTACAAAAAAGACAGAACAATGGTTCTTAAACATAAGAAAATATGTTTAACATGACTTATCGCTTGAGGAATGCAAATTAAAATTACATTAAGGTATGATTTCTCCTTGTTAGTTTGGTTAAAAAAAATAATAAATCTTTAAAATATGACAGCACATTTAGTTGGTCAGGGCATTGGGAACCAGGACACATATATTGCTGTTGGGATTGCAAACTGGCAGTCTCCAGGAGGGAAATTTGGCAACATCTTACAAAACTGCTTGCATACTTAACTTTTTGACTGAAGAAGTCCATTTCTGGGGATTACTCTAAATATATATATTTCTAACATTAATACAATATATATGCACAAGTTTATTAATTGCAATACTGTCTGCAATTACCCAACAAAGGAGGATGGTTGAATGAGGGTGCAGCTGGAAGAAGACCTTTGTGGAGTGATATTGGATAAATTCCAGGATATATTTAAGTGTAAAAATGTGAAGAAATTATCTATAGAATATGTTAAAAGAAAAACTTTTGATAAATTAAATACAAATTGTTTGAGCAGAGTATGACATGGTTAGGTTTTGTGTGCCCACCTGAATTGCATCTTAAATTGTAATCCCCAGGTGTTTAGGGAGGGACCTGGTGGGAAGTAATTAGATTATGGGGGCGGTTTCCCCATGCTGTTCTCATAAATAGTGAGTGAGTTCTTAAGAGATCTGATGGTTTTATAAGGCAGTTTTCCCTGCTCTTACACTCTATCTCTGCTGCCATGGAAGATGGCCCTGTTCCCCCTGCTGCCATGATTGTTAGTTTCCTGTGGTCTCCCAGCCATGTGAAACTATGAGTCAATTAAATCTCTTTTCTTTATAGAGTATAGGGTATTTTCATATAGCACTGTGAGAATGAACTAATACAGAGTGATTTGTGAATTAGGCAGCTCTTAGAACCAGAAAGAGAAGAGGTTCAGAGATCTCCACTGAACAATGTGGCCAGACAGTATTTATAGACACAAAATGTATGTGAGGTAGAAATAGCTTGATTGATAACAGCTCTACATTTGCCTTGTTTGAACATAGTCAGATCAGCTGGCAGTACGTGATTGGCAGAACGTTAGCTGCTGTGATGGATTGACATCTAGCTGTTTGTTATGAAATATTCTTGTAGGTTATGCTCAGTTTGTTTACATACTAAGCTAGATTGTAATTTGTTACTAGGGACTCAAGATACAGAGACAGCCTCAGCCCAAATTTAGTTTAATTTAAAATATGGTATGCTTTATGTTAGAAATAAGGAGAAATGAGAAAACATACATATATCTTCTCATTTTTGCAGCAAAAAACATATGTAGGGCAAACAACAAATTGAGATTGGGTGCTTATGGTGGGGGTGGATATAGGGGGAAAGAATGGACAGCCAGGATGGACAGAAGTGATATTTCTCTGAATATACATTTCTGTACATTTATACATAGAGTAGTCCCTTGGTATCCATTCAGTGTTAGTTCAAGGATCCACCCTCAGATACCAAAATCCAAGGATATTTAAGTTCCTTATATAAAATTACATAGCATTTGCTTGTAGTGTACACACATCCTCCTGTGTACTTTAAGTGATCTCAGCATTACTCATAACACCTCGTACAATGTAAACACTGTGTAAATCGTTGTTACGCTGTTTAGGAAATAAGATGAGAAAAAATTCTGTATATGTTCAGTGCAGATACACTGTCCTTTTTTTTCTCTAATATTTTCTATCTTTGGTTGGTTCAGTTATCCAATGTGAAATCTGTGGATACAGGCCTGACTACATTCTTATTTAACTGTGTTTACATATGCTTCTTCCTATTTTTACACATGCTCACATATATTCTCATATGTAAGCTGACTTTTAGAACCATGTTTATGTTTCACAGACTCAAGAAAAAGTAAAATTAACAGATATTGGAGTGGGAGGCAAAAGGAAATACAAATAGAAACAAATGAACCTGTCTTACAAATAAATGAGCACAATGAAGGAATAAAAAGTAAAGAACTAAATTTAAGTAACTTGGAAAATAGTTTTCCAAAGATATACTCTAAGCCTAAAAGCAAAAAGAATGAGATATCATACCTTATTTATGGTGTTTATTTTTCACTATAAATTGTTTACCATTGAATAAATAAATGTATTGTGGATAATGAGAGCCAGATATCTCCCTGTTAAAGGAAGGAGTTATAAATAAGTATGATGGTTAATTTTTGGTGTCAGCTTGACAGGATTAAGGGATACCTAAGTAGCTGGTAAAGCATTGTTTCTGTGAAAGTGATTCTGGAGGAGGTTGGCCTGTGAGTGGGTGAACTGAGTGGGGAAAATCAACCCTTGGTGTGGACAAGCACCATCCAATTGATTGGGAAGGTGGGGAAAAGGTGAATTTGCTCCCTCTCTTTTTGAGTTGGGACACATTTCTTCTGTTTTAAGACACCAGACTCCAGGTTCTCTGGCCTTTGGACTCTGAGACTTGCAATAGCAGCTTCTCCAGGTTCTCAAACCTGCAGCATAAAAATGGGAGTCACGTCATTGGTGTCCCTGGTTCTGAGGCTTCTGGACTTGAACTGACACAGTCACCATTTTCCCTGGGTGTCCAGCTTGCAGAAAGCCTACTGTAGGACTTCTCGGCCTCTATAATCATGTGAGCTGATTCCCTTATTAAGTCCCCTTTCACTTATCTATCTATCTCTATCAATCTAGCTATTTAATCTATTTCCTATTAGTTCTTTCTCTCTGGAGAACTCTAATATATGTAAAGGAGTTAGGGCAGAATAAACTTTGTGGTGTTGGACTGGAATGGAGGTATCAGTATGAAATCAAGGCCATATCTTTATTTCATACCTTTGTCCCTGAGAGATCCAAAAGCAGTGACACCTCAGTACCAATGAACATACTTAGTGCCCAGATATTGGTTTTGGAATGACATTTTCCAATAAAAGCAACCAGAGCTATTTGGAAAAGTAGTTGATTCTGAGTATGGGGCATTGTGCCTGGGGTCTCAAGGTCACCCCCAACTTTGGTAATTTGCTTGAAAGATCCATGGAATCAGCATATAGTCATACTCATGTTATTGCAGCCAAAATACAGAAAACAAAATCAGCAAAGGGAAAAGGGCATGGGGTGAAGTGCAGAGGAAAAAATGTGCAAATTTCCAGGAGACTTCTCCCAGTAGCATTACTCAGGAGGAGTTTACTTTTTTCAGCATCAAATTGTGACAGCATATGGGAAACATTGTCTACCAAGGAAGCTCATTAGAGACTTGATCCCCAGGCTTGTTTTGAGGTTTGGTCATGTCAGAATCCTATGCCTCTATTGTACCAAAATTCCAGACACCAGAAGGAAATAAAGTGCTTGACATAAAACACAGATTTTTTTTTTTTAACATGAAAAGTTTAGGCTCAGCAATCCCTTTTTATCAGGAAAAACTGAGAATGTACCAGAAATCCAAGTTTCCAGATGCTAGACAAGGTCCAACCATGTAAATAGGCCTTCTTGTCTATAACAGCCTCCAGTCTTCCATATTAACTCTGTTTTGCTCAAAGTAAGGTGCTCAAAAATAGCAGAAACTCATTGGTATACCAGATGGCTAAATCTGGTACAATTTGAGCTACAAAATTATTACAGCAATGGATTATAACTTATTGAATAAGATTGCACGAGTCCCTGCCAACATAAATATATAAATATAGTGAATTCTTTTAATTTTGTGTTACCTTGGTATCCTTTTTGAATAGTTTAACTCTCATGCCTGAAGCAGAGCTCCGTCACTCTTACATGGTTTCCAGTTTACGCCACATGCAAAAGGCTTATACTGGTGGCTAGAGATAAGAACTTGTTGCATTTCTCCTGCCTCAGGGCTCCTTCTTTCTCACTGCTTCTTTTTTCTTTCTTTCTTTTTTTTTTTTTTTGAGACAGAGTCTCCCTCTGTCACCAGGTTGGAGTGCAGTGGCATGATCTCGGCTCATTGCAACTTCTGCCTCCTGGGTTCAAGTGATTCTCCTGCCTCAGCCTCCTGAGTAACTAGAACTACAGGCTTGTGCCACGAGGCCCAGCTATTTTTTATATGTGCAGTAGAGATGGGGTTTCACCGTGTTGGCCAGGATGGTCTCAATCTCTTGACCTCACAATCTGCCTGCCTCAGCCTCCCAAAGTGCTGGGACTACAGGCATGAACAACTGCGCCTGGCCCCCACTGCTTCTTAAACAGACTTCTCAGGCATTTACCCAAAAACTAAATCATCCTAAACATTATTCATTTCTATATGCTACTGGTTGCTAATGCCCTCTTCTCTCTCCTCATAGCTCTTCATGCCTGCCTTGTGTGACCTGGGGATGAAAGAGTGCCCACCCAACTCACTCTACCCTACTTGGTCAGAATTTGTAAGTAAAAGTCTTTGCACTTATTTCCTATTGTAATAGGATTGTAATAGTATTGAATTTGTGCTTTTTATGTCAAGAATCAGGAGCTACTCTAAACTGGATTTTGTACAGAAGCTGGGGAAACACAAAATCAGGTTCCCAGTGCGAGAGCAATGGTCGAGGGGCATAAACTGAACACTGGTTAGAAAAGAGCCACAGAGTATCTGCCAGTATAAACAAGTTTCCTATATGAGGGAGCCCCTGGTTGTGGGTCAGACAAGTAGGCATTAGGCCATGTGCCAGGTTAAAAAAATAGTAAGTATCTGGTAAAAGGCATGCAGTAAACACTCAGGTCTGGTTTCCCTTCATTTCCTGTTTGGGCAGAGTTGCTGACCAGTCTAATACTGGAGCCTCAATTTAGCTGGGGGCTCTCAAAACAGTAAGGAAGACAGAAAGCTATGTCTTCTGGTAATATCCCAACTAATAAATAAGTATAATGAAAATGGAAAATTACCATTAGTAACACTACAGTAATGATTGATCCAAGTAGGAATCATAAACAGATGTCAAAAGTAGCAGGCAAAGGCCTGTGAGAAATGGAATATTTATAAGCTCTAAATGGTCCACAATAGACTTCTCAATTACAAAGGAAAATATAACTTTACAGTGAAGAAACCTAGCAGACACCATTTTAACGAAGTAATCAGAGTTATCATCATCAGTGATGGGAGAAACCAACAACATGTACCTCTTAAGGAATGCAATGAGAAAAAGCATCACATCTGGGATATTCATGCCAAAAACATAAAACCCAAATTCATTACTCAGAAAACATCTGGGGCTGGGTGGTGGTGTGTGCTATGGGAGGCTGAGGTGGGAGGATCTTTTGAGCTTAGGAGTTCGAGTTGCAGTGAGCTGCAATTGCACTACAGCACTCCAGTTGGAGAGTAAGACCCTGTCTCCAAAAAAGCGAAGCAAATCAAAGAGAACATCAGAACAATTCAAACTGAGTGACATTAAAAACAAAAAACAAAAAACAAAAAACACAAGACCAGGACTTTTCAAAAGTTTCAAAGTCATCAAAGACAAAGACTAAGGAACTAACTTGTTCTAGTTAAAGGAAACTAAAAACACATGACTTCAAAATGCATTCTGTTTTATAGTCAAAAATCAGGAAAATTTAAATGACCTACATCAAGAAAATGGAAATAATGTCTGTAGATTACATAATAGTATTGCATTTATCATAGTATCTTGATTTTTTTTTGTCTACAGTAGTATGGTTTACTCAATTATTAAAAGCAGTAAATACTTTTCAAAGGAAACGTTTTCTTCTGAAAAGCAAAACAAAAAGGATCAGCAAAAAAGTTTTTATGACTTTTTTTAAGCAAAAAGTCATAAAAAGTCATAAAATGATTGTTTTGGTCTTTTATTAGTTTAGTCCATGCTGTTAACTCTTATTTTGCCTGATATTGAGCCACATTCCTTATGAATGTATTAAGTTTCTGTGAGAATCTTGAAAGTTTGTGTTTTCTTTTCTATTTTAATGGCACAGATTTTTCTTTTCTTTTTTTTTTTTTTTTGAGATAGCATTTTTCTCTGGTTGCTCACGCTGGAGTGCAATGGTGCGATCTCGGTTCATTGCAACCTCTGCTTCCCAGATTCAAGCAAATTCTCCTGCCTCAGCGTCCTGAGTACCTGGGATTATAGGTGCATGCCACCATGCCCAGCTAATTTTTGAATTTTTAATAGAGATGGTGTTTCTCTGTGCTGGCCATGCTGGTCTCAAACTCCTGGCCTCAAGTGATCTGCCCACCAAAGTGGTCGGCCTCCCAAAGTGCTGGGATTACAGGCATGAGCCACCACACCCAGCCAATGGCACAATTTTCAAAGTTATAAGAGACTTGCATTTTAGAGTACCCATCAGAGTCCTGTAACTGATTATAAACTACCTTTTGAAAAGGATGAAAACAAGACAACAGTTGTCTTCGGGTGACAAAAGATTTTGATAATTTTATTATGTCAAGTAAATAGCTAACAACTGGGAAATTGGACAAAGGGAATATATAATATGTTGTAGTATTTTTACAACATAGTTGTAAATATAAAATTATTAAAAATTGAAAAGTGAGAAGATAAAAATTAATAAAACATGAATTAAATATATCTGCATGACATTAAGAAATTTCTTTAATATATTAATTTTTGAAATTATTACATTTTGCTAAAATTTATGAATTTCATCTTATGATATTCTCTTAACTGTAAATAACATTATGTAGAAGTTAAATAATGTAGTTTCAAGCACTACAAAAGTAAAAGTAAATTTTCAAAATATGTTTTCAGTTAACAAGTTGAGGATAAAGAATACAAACAATCATAAAGAACCTGAGGAATTTGGTAAGTTTTAGATAAAAAAGTTTTATCTTTCAAAACTCCCCAGGAAATAGCAGTACATTCTGTGTCAATAACTAAATGTTTCAAAGTAGGGATTTTCTTTTGGACAGAAAAAAACATTTTATAAAAGATTTCAATGACAGTTCAAACACTCGGTTTAGGCTGTTTTAAAGGCTGTTTTCAATTGAACATAGTTGTTCAAATTGTCGCAATTCAAAAAAAAATTGCAGTTAAAATGAGCCAATTTAGCTTGGCCAGATACTGTTTTCAACCCTAGACGTGTGGTTAAAGCTGCTGATGTCAGAAGTAAATTGTCAAATTTGTGCAATAACTTGGTCACTGCAAATTACTTAAAAAAGTAGATACATTTGCTAAGAGTAACACCTTTGAAAAATCTATCAAACAAAAATTTTTATTTTCATCTTGTATGATATTTGGATGCCATAATATGTGGTTACCTGGGATTTTTTTTGTATTATTAGGTACAATGTTGTTTGAATGGCTCTACCTCTAACTGGAATTAATAAACTGTCAACTTCTTTGCTGCAGCATGGATTTATTTGCAGTGCACTGTAACTAGTACCTAATAGCTTCTGTTTATTCTGCTTTTTTTCTTTAATTTTAGAAAGGTGAACATTAGAAAATTTAACAAGTAGTGGCTTTATTTATTTCAGTTAAATCAGTCTTCTACATATATGCGGTCATCTTAAAGGGGAATATCTGCTGATACTTTCTCTCCTCCTTTGTACCTCAATCATTAACTGCTTTAAGCTTTTCCATGTCTGAGTTTTAGAGTTTAAATTGTGTTTGTAATTTATGACCTCACTCTTTTTTGTGCTTTGAATGAGACGCTTCCATGTAATCTGTCTTTGCTCTTTTGTTTCCCATAAAGGACTCTGGTTGGGATACATTTCATTAGCTGTTTCAGAATTTCTTTAGATTGCATACCTGCAGTGTCAAACTGGCTCCCTGCAATCCAAATTGGTCTACCTGAGCCACAATGAAGGGAAGAAGATTCTGACAAGTGCATTATAGGACCATTTAAATGGGATTTTCTAGAGCATGAATATTAGACTGGAAAAAAATAGATCTTTATTAGTATTGTGAGCCTCTTTTACTAGGACAGCCTTAGATTTTCTTATCAATTTAAAGGGATGGATTCAGTACTGCTTTATCAGCTCTTCTAAAGCCAGAGGCTCTCTAAAAACTAAGGAGTTGCAAGGCAGGAGGTATAAGGCTCAAAATTCCAAGTTTAAAATTCCCTCAGCTGGATTTTTTGAGGTAAAAAGTGTCATTGCTGTCATAATACAATGTCAGCACAAACCCATCTTCAGTGAGTATCTTAGCACTGCCTCTGTGCTTTAGGAAGGTTGTACCATGACCTTCATTTCAGAACCAGTGCACTGCTCTGGGGAATCTGTATCCCATTTAATGTTGTCTCTAGATCAGCAAATCCATATCCCTGAGACACCTAAGGGCTGAAGAAGGAGCTATAAGATATGAACCAGATTAAAAACTCATTCATTCTAGCCACAGAAACTACAGTCGAGATATTAATAGTTTAAAAGAAAAATAGCACTGATGCTTTCTAAAACTGGCAAGAAGATTTTATTTAAGACTATTGCAAAAGGGGTCAAACTATTGCAGTAAAGGACAATTCAGCTAAAAAAACAACCAGGAGGGTTTTAAGCAGTGGGGTGAGCTAGTGAAAAAGTACTGGAGGTGATGGGGGAAGTTGGTTAGTTTGATCATTTATGTTTGTCATTCAGTGCTTATTGAAGTTAAGCTCCTACCCTCCCACAGAGACTGGGATATAAGAGTGCTAATTTTTTTTTCTTTAGTTATTACATTTCTGGGAGAAGGTTTATCTTAAAGACACAGAAAGAATTTACAATGGTAAGTTTCCTAAAGTAAATTCTCTAAGAATAAGGAGGTAAGAAAGAAACCTGTCTAAATTTAAGTCAGGCTGAGGGGATTGTTAAAGCTGTTTTCATCAGCAGTGTGGGAGAGTCACTAATGAACCATGAAAGCATCTAAGAGAGAGTAAGTTTTAAATCCTTGCCAGGCACAGAGAGTGAGAAGACAGTACCATTTTCTGAGGAGAAATTCAAGCCACTTGCACAAATTTGCATAAGTAACAAAGAGCCAAATGTTAAGCCAAGACAATGGGAAATTGAACCCAGGGCATGTTAGAGGTATTCAAGGCAGCCCCTTCTGTCACAGGCCCAGAGGCCTAGAAGGAAAAATATGATTTCATGGGCTGGTCCCTAGACCTTGCTACTTTCTGCAATCTCAGAACTTGGTGTCCTTGTGTCCCAGGCATGACAAAAAGGGCCCAATGTATAGCTCAAGTCTTTGCTTCAGAGGGTGCAACCCCCAAGACTTGACAACTTCCATGATGTGTTCAGCCTGTGGGTGCGCAGAAGTCAAGAACTGAGGTTTGGGAACCTCCACCTAGATTTCAGAGGATGTATGGAAATGCCTGGATGTCTAGGCAGAAGTTTGGTCAGGGGTGGAGCCCCCATGAAAAACCTCTCCTAGGGCAGTGCCAAAGGGAAATGTGGGTTTGGAGACCCCACACAGTGTCTTCACTGGAGCACTGCATATTGGAGTTGTGAGAAGAGGGCTACTCTCCTCCAGACCCCAGAATGGTAGATCAACTGATGACTTGCACTGTGTGCCTGGAAAAACCACATACACTCAATGCCAGCCCATGAAAGCAGCTGGGATGGTGGCTGTACCTGCAAAGCCACATGGGTGGGAGCCCACCTTTGCATCAGCATTACCTGGATATGAGACAAGGAGTTAAAGGAGATCATTTAAGAGCTTTAAGATTTGACTACTCCACTGGATTTCAGGCTTGCATGGTGCCCTTCATTTTGGCCAGTTTCCCTCGTTTGGAATAGGTATATTTACCCACTACCTGTACCCCCATTGTAACTAAAAAGTAACTAACTTGGTTTTGATTTTACAGGCTTATAGGTGGAAGGAACTTGCCTTGTCTTGGATGAAACTTTGAACTTGGATTTTTGGGTAATGCTGGAATTATTAAGACTTTGGGAGAACTGTTAGAAGGTATGATTGGTTTTGAAATATGAAGAAACATGAGATTTATGAGCGGTCAGGGGAAGAATGATATTGTTGATATTGTATACTTTGTGGCAGTTTCCCCTGTGCTGTTCGCATGATAGTGAGTGAGTTCTCATGCAATCTGATGGTTTTAAAAAGGGCTCTTTTCCCCTTCACTTGAGAAGAAGGTGTTTGCTTCTCCTTCTCCTTCTTCCATGATTGTTAGTTTCCTGAGGCCACCCTAGCTATGTGGAACTTTAAGTCAATTAAACCTCTTGCCTTTATAAATTATGCAATCTTGGGCAGTTCTTTAGAGTAGTATAAAAATGAACTAATACAGGTTCCGTAAGATTACAGTGAAGCTGAAAAATTCTTATTGTCTAGAGATGTTATAGTCATTGTAATTTCATAGCACAATGCATTACTCACATAGTTATGATGATGCTTTTGTAAGCAAACCCACTGCATTGCCAGTTATGTAAAAGCATAGCATGTACAATTATGTACAGTACATAATACTTTATAAAATAAACTGCTTTGTTATGGATTTCTGTAATGACTGTACTATACTTTTTATTGTTATTTTAGGCTGTACTTTTATTTATTAATAAAAGTTAATTCTTAAACAGCCTCAGCAGGTTTTCCAGCAGATATTCCAGAAAAAGACATTGTCATCATAGGAGATGATAACTCTATGAGTGTTACCGTCTCTGAAGACATTCCAGTGAAACAATATGTAGAGGTGGAAGATGGCGATATTCATGATCCTGACCCTGTGTAGGCCTAGGTTATGGTATATGTTTGTCTTAGTTTTTAATAAAAAACTTTAGAAAATGAAAACAAAGAAATTTCCATTTAAAAACAGAAAGTAAACCTTATAGAATAAGAATGTAAAGAAAAAATATTTTAATACAGTTTTATTAAGCTGCTTATCATTTAAGCTATATAATAATGTGTTTGTGTTTTGAGCTAGTTGTTATTCCAAAATATCTAAAAGTTACAAAAGAAAGTTTATAGAGTAAAAAAGCTACAGTTTATTTTAGATGCACAGATACTTACCATTGTGTTACAGTTGCCTACAGTATTTAATACAATAACCTCCTGTACAGGTTTGTAGCCTAGGAGCAGTAGCTATCCTCTGTATAGACTAGGTATGTAGTAGGTTATCTCATCTAGGTTTGTGTAAGTATATTCTATGATGTTCACAAGCACAAAATTTTCTGATGATGTATTTTTCAGACTGTATCTCTGTTGTTAAGTGATGCATGACTGTATTGCATTATCTTATTTATATGTGGAATGTTTTGAAAATACAAAGTATTTGAAGCAGAGAGTAGAATAGTGGAAAGCAGGGGTTTGAGGGGTAAGGAAAATGGAAGTATGTTGGTCATAGGGTATATAGTTCAGTTATGCAAGATGAATGAGTTCTGGAAATCTGATAGACAGCAATGTGACTTTAGTTAATAATACTGCATTCGTATACTTGAAATTTGATAGAACAGTAGATCTTAAAGTTCTCATTATAATGGTAACTATGTGAGGTGATGGATGCCAACGAATTGTGATAATTATTTCACAATGTATACATGTACCAAAACATCGCATTGTATGCTGTAAGTATGTAACATTTGTGTTGCCAACTACGCCTCAATAAAGATGAGAAAAAAGATCAGTTAAAAAAAAGGAAATGTGCAGAATAATATGTTAAATACCAAATTCAGGATAGTGGTTCTGTCTGTTGGTTATGGTTATAAGAGTTGGTATTATGTTAGGGAGGAGTGCCCAGGAGACATCCACCATATAGGAAATGTTTTATTTCTAAATGTGAATTTCTTTATTTTTATATGTCTCCTTATTTTAAATATTTAAGAAAAAGGTATAAACATTCAATAAAAATATAACAGATAAAAAAAATCCAAAAGGCCTTTTTG